ATAGCATCTACACATTTGTGGACATAAAGGGGCATGATTAGAACTCCGCACAATCGGCCCGAAATCATGGTGATTTATGCTGTTTGGGGCAATCGGTATGTCGTTCAGCATCGAGCTCATTTTTAGTTTAATTATTCTTTTTTAAGACGGTGTCCAACTCAATCTCATATTATATTCAGAAATGGTAAGTTTCGATACTACTGATAAAGCATGAATAAGAGCTTGGTCATATGAGGCGGTGAAAGGGGACTAACCTGTCGAAACAATGCTCTGCAGTACCTGGGTTTTATTCGTGTTTGGGATGCTAATGGGACCCTGCGAGATAGGAACTGCAGTCCATCGTGGAAATAATAATAAGTAGAAGATATGATATAGCAATACTATAATATAAATAAGTGATATACATAATAAATTAAGTATATACTCAATATGTAAATACGAAAATGCGACTTATTCTAACTGGATACTACGACTACAAGCAGACCAAGTGGTGCAATATAAGTATTTTTGGTTGAGGGACGATAATGCATGCCTATTATAACTCGTATCTATAGATGCATATATTCGCGAGCCAAGGAGGGCACAACAGGTACCCACGGTATATCAGTGCTGGATGTTGGGAGAGGCTTTTTTGTCATATAAGAGGCTCATTAACTTCTCGGCCGAGTTAGTCCGAAAGCAGAAGAGTCGGTCAAACACGGCCACTGGCCGTCTGGAAGGTACGAGCAATTGTATTAATTGCCTAGTCTGGCAACTTTTTGTTGACAGCCCACAAATAGTCCTGTCAACTTTGGCGTCGGTTAGAGAGAAGAAGATGTCGCTTTGAGCAGGTCCACCTGCAAGAAGTGGGGGAGCTCGACTGCCTTTAGACAAGGAATTGTCAAGTGCGGTTCACTTAAATGTCTTTTCATGCATAAAGAGTAGGGCAGAGGTGTCACCAAGTAACGTTGAAAAACGAAAATAACTCCAAGTGAGCAAGCATACCATCCTGTCTTTAGGGTTTTCTCATTGGTCTTTTGTTAATTGCACTTGTGACTTTTTGAAACGCAGCCAAAAGATGGTTAAATCGAAGACATAAAGACCAAGACGGTGTGGCTCTCGGTATGGTCGCAGACCCCTTTCGATGTATGGAAGTGGGTTGGCCTCGTTTTCACAACTTGATCTTGCTGTCAGGGCAACTTAGTTGGACTTACCTTGTCCGAAGTCCTCTGCCATAGTAGACATCATAATTCTCAACGTCGTACCAAGTCCACGGTCAAATGCTGGGAATTATGATAACTACTATGGCAGAGGACTTCGGACAAGATTCGTCCAAGTTGCGAAAGTGAGGTCAACCCACCTCTACAAGCATGTGCACAAACGTAGGAGGAAGCCAAGTGAAGAGTCTACAATTTCATGGAATATCATTTTGGGGAAGAAAGCAATCTGGGTTGGTCAATCATGTCGACTGTCCGCCTCATACTGATTGAGCCCAATGCCCATTATTTGGGAAGAAGCAGTAGCAGCGTGCTCTGTCTTCTCGCTTTTGCAGCCAATTTGGGGTCTACTCCCACGACGCCCTACGCGGCTATGGAGACATGTGAATTCGTAGGTGTTATTTGGGTGGCCAAAGAAGGACAAATTGCCGCCGGCCGATGCTGTGGTGGTCCCGGTCATTTGCGGAAGTTTTGCCAACAGGCCATGCCTATTTGATGTATCAATCAGACCAGTTATTACCCCCCTCCTCCCTCCCCATCTTCCCTTCTTCTCTCTCTCTCTCTCTCTCGTGTTCCCAGATTCCCTCGAATATAATTTTTCTCACTCCCTCCATTTATGTATCAGTCTCCATCTATTTCTATCCTTCTCTAGGCACTCTCCTCTCTCTCGCTCTCTCCATCAGCAAAGTTGCTTAAATTTGCTGATGGCGTTTTCAGGTCAGCCATTGTTCGGCAACATTCACGTGACAAAAGCAAACTGCTCATTGATTGCGTATTCTGTCCGTATTTTCTCGAATCCGTTGCGAGGTGTTTTAATTAATCCATCCGTGAAGTTTGTTAAGGTAGCAAACTTACCTAATAGAATGGCCCGTCCAAGTTACGTCTACCCACATTGATCGCTTCAGAAAAGCTATATGGTTATTTTCATCGGGCAGATAAGTTGAAATATTGCTATGATAGCGGGAATTTAAGACCTCAAGAGATTGATGTGCGCAAATATTGATGGTGGCGCGATTAACCAAGGGATAGTCTATCATCAACCAGTCAAGAAGACGAAGTTACACTACACAACTGTGAAGAGATTTAGCTTTATCGACGGGGGTGTTGGTGGCGCAATATGCAAGTTGTATGAGACTAATTCATGTTAGTATACTGGCCAGTATGCAAGTGGCATCATAGGAAAGTTCTATGCTAGATTGAAATTGCATTCCATTAGCTTATCTCCAGAAGATGTAGTTAATCGGCCACACTGTCTCCACGCCTGGGTAAGGCAATTTCATTTCACCAGAATTTTTCTTATTAAAACACTTCAAATTGGGACCACTTACTACGTGTTGGAAACATCTTTCTCTGAGCCAGCACCAGATTCCTTGGATCATGTAGCATTCCACAGAGGAGGCCTTTAATCTGATTTTGTGTCTGTGATAGATGACTCAAGAAATGTACATTTTCAATCTTCATTCACAGGCTTCGCTTCACACACACACACACACACATAATCCGTTTGCACTATTATACCTTCCAAACTTTGCCCCTTTACCCGAAACTGCATTAACCATCCGACACTAATGAATAGCCGACTTTCACATAGTATTTTTTGAAATCGAACTTTTGCATACCTTCTCCACACAAACACAGAGACGTCTCCTCTTAATTTCATCCCCCTTAAATGGTGCCGACACTTGGTTGTAATAGGACCAAGCGGTCTGCTACCCATCTTGGCCCCACATATCAACAGTTCTCATCCTTTCTTCAAGAACCCTCAACAACTACCAATTTGCGCTACCTCTGCGTTATTGACATTTAATATTTTACATCTTCTGTCTTCCAGATCTTATTTTTACTCTCTTGTCTTCTTGCAGTCCAGTTCCTACGGGACTTTATATATGAAGAAAAGCTAGGCTTCAAAAAATCCCTAAACAATTTCCTGTCAATGGTCTTTTTATTTGGTGTTAAAAATGGGTGAAAGGGATTTTCAAATTGACTTATCAGTAGCGTAAGGAAGATTACTTTGGACTTAAGGAGGTTAATTTGAGCATAGGATCCCTCGAATCCTCGCCCTTGGACCTCTTGAACCTTCTAGGACTCTATTGAACTCATCGGGTTTACGGAGTGTGCTCAAATCAACAACCAAGACTGCAAGGCCATGTTCTTTCCGGTGTCTTGGTGACCGATCGATACCCCTTATCATTAATTGCTTCATACCAAATAAAAGGCATTAAATGTGAATTCGGTACTTCTAGTAGCTTTTGAATATTTGATGTAGTCACCTCAGGTCATATAAAACGATAAGGGGATGGCAACATGTCGATATTATACACTATGCTATCCAAGTTCATGTCCCATTGTGGTGCTGATACGACTCAGGCGAGGTAGAGACTGAAAGTCCAGTCCAGTCCAGACGGGATGAAAACACTTTCTGGGAGGCAAGGCCGAGTGAACTTCACCTACATTGTGAGGTATACACATAACATTGTGGGAAAAATTTAACTATCTGTCCTTAAACACCTTATGCGATCTGTGATGGACAACGCTTTAATGAAATGTGATAGATTGAAGCAGCTTTTTTGCACTATGAAATGTACACCGAAACAAGCCATTCTCAGAAATAGCTACAGTTCAGGGCTAGCTAGTGATTAAGAATGGGCAATTCATAGTAGTTTATTTTTCGTTTATAAATAGACTTACGAGACTACCAGTAAATCAGTTATATGAGATGAATTCAACCTATTTCATTCAAGGTGATAAAGGACTGGTAGTTGCATTTTCCCACGATCATATGAGTAGACCTTACAATACCATTGAATTTCACACAAGGTCGAAACTGCAGTCCACCTTAGATGAGAACAGTTTTTGGGAAAGCAAGGCTATGTAAAATTGAATATAAACATCAGCTCAACTCATATCATTGTGGGAAAATTCGACTACCAGTCCTTCATCACCTTAAACAAAATAGGAGTAAAACATTCCATATAACTGATTTACCAGTGATCTCGAAACCCTACTTATAAACGAAAAATATTTGTATAGATTTGCTAATATCTGTAGTCATCCAAGGTAATATTAGGGGATGAAGACCTACTTGTCGAATTGTATCACAACGACAAGAGTAGACCTAACGATGCCATTGAATTTCACTTGGATGACCTCCCATAAGGTAGTTTAATCTCGAATGTACTGGACTGCAGTTGCTACCTGCTGGGTCTTATCATCACATTAATGGGACATCGACATCTAACCATTAAGGAGATATGAAGAAAAACTGGGTGGCATGACTTTCCATTTCGAAGGAAAAGTTGGTTGGAAGTAATTCGAGATGTGGTCACACCGGAAGCCGAAGGAGGATTACCGCATAGGGAAGACTGCTGTTTTGTGCGAAAAATTCCTCACCTCACCGTCCTGCAACCTTAAGCAGCCTGTAATAAGCTTTCCTATGTACTATGACAAACATCATCGGAGCAGGAATCCAGACTTTACGAAATAGAGTAAAAACATATTAGACCAAGAAAAAAGATCGCTGGCCGATTTTATACACCAAACATTGCGATTTTAATGAGAAATCCCACGATTGGATTGGCCACTTCAACCTTACTTTACATGCTTGCAGATGAAGGAAGTTGATTCACGAACCGTTCGGTAGCAGCTGTTTCCTGACACAAATAAACTAACATACGATACTTTGATGTTGATTCATGTTTGGATTTGTGCTATTGTCTATTGTGCGTACGTAATGTTCATGGCATTAGAAGTGTGATAGTCATAACCAGACTTGAGGTTAATTCATCCTCTTTCTCTTGCTCACGTATGGTCTTTTCGGAATTGTCTTTTTTTTTAAACCTAGAAATTGTTGGTCAGGCAAGTCAATTCCATTTGTTTTTTGAAAGTTTGCTTATCCTGTGGAATTATACCAAGATTTTGTGTCATTTATAGACCAAATTTGCCTTGTAAGACTAAGACTGATCTTTTGGACTTATGCCATTGTTTGGTTAATATTAAACTTAAGGAAAGCATTGCAGAGCTGAGCTCATTAATTAGAACTAAGATTAAATTTAGGCAAACCTTGTCCGAGGTTCCTGGTTCGGAAGACTTTTTTAGGCTCCAATGAATAGCGGATAGGTCACATGACAAAGTTTTTTGACAGGTTAGAAAGGCACATGATAAGAAAGTAATAAATTAGTATATAAAAATTAAAGAAACGATCCATTTTAATCAAGTGAAGGGGAAGGAAGGCCGTTGCCAAAAAGGGGTAAATCTGTCCAAAACTTCATTGAAATTTTCTACTGAGGAGGTCCTATCCAAGCGCTAAAAAACTATGCCCTTCCAAATGATAAGGACTTCAGGGAAGAAATAATGGTAGAATTAATAAATTTAGCAGGTAGTTTTCCAGATTATACTAAGAGTTATATTGAGTTACAAGTTGTCCCTTAAATTGATGACCATGTAGAAGCAACTTATAAAAATAGGACAGGTAACACCATCATAAAGAAGCTTAAGACGAATGGCCACTTAGAATAGGGGAACAGGAATAGTTATGGCTAGGACTGAATATGTGGAGAAAATGTTAGAGGCATTGGAATTAGTAATTATGGTTTTTCTGCAAAATTGTGTCAACAGTTGAAAACTGAACAAGTAGTGAATCAACGCACTTCAACGAAATGCTAGACTCCCAAATGTGTATGGTCTTCCCAAAATAATAGAGGTTGCCAAATTGACTATTTTAATGACCGAATACTTGCCCAACTTTATACCTACTATCATCTCTGAATGTTGATCTAGTGTAAACTTTAAAGTCTTTATTGCCCTGTTTATCATTTACTAGCAAATTACCTCTTTCTATCGTCTGATCAACTAACTGTATAAAAGTGTAAGCGTTCATTATCGAAAACTTACACGTTTCGGAAATCTGTTTTAACTGAATACAACTAAATCATGATGATATGAAGACTAAGATGGTGTGGCCTTTTGTGTGGTCGCAGTCTCCTTTCGTTGTATAAAGGTTGTTTGACCTTGTTTTCG